GCAAAAAGATAAAACAATCGATAAAGATGTTCAAGAACAAATCAATAGAGATAGAGAGCATTGTAAAAATGTATTGTCAAGAATTATTGTCGTGATCAAAACTCTTGGAAAATATAATTTAGCATTTAGAGGAAAAAATGAAACGATATATCAAGAGAATAATGGAAATTTTTTAATTTTAATTAAAATGATTGCAGAATTTGACCTCGTCATGCAAGAACATATTCGACGAATTAAGCATGATGAAATTCATAGTCATTACCTTGGGCATAGAATATAAAATGAATTGATAAACTTATTGACAAGTGAAATTAAGAATAAAATTATAGAAGCAAAACATTTCTCGATCATACTTGATTGCACTCCAGATACAAGTCATCAAGAACAAATATTTTTTATACTGCGGAGTGTGGATATTTCAGCAACTCCAATAAAAATTAATGAATATTTTTTAGAATTTTTAAAAGTTAATGATACAAGCGAAAAAAGGTCTTCTTGAAGTTATTATAGATGAAATAAAAAATATTGGACTTGATATTGATAATTTAAGAGGCCAAGGATATGATAATGGATCCAATATGAAGGGAAAACATCAAGGAGTGCAAAAAAGACTTCTTGATGTAAATCCTAGATCATTTCATACACCATGTGGTTGTCATAATCTAAATTTGTTACTTTGTGATATGGCTAATTCTTGTACAAAAGTTATATCATTTTTTGGAGTGGTACAACATATATATATATTAACTATTTCTACTACGCGATGGAAAGTATTAAAGGATAGTGTACCTAGTCTAACTCTTAAACCATTGTCACAAACTCGTTGGGAAAGTCGTATTGAAAGTATTAAAGCAATAAGATTTCAAACTCCACAAATAAGAGATGCTTTATTGAAACTAGTAGAAATTAGTGATGATCCAAAAACTAAAAGTGAAGCGAATTGCTTAGTAACATATGAACTCGAAAATTTTGAATTTTTATTGGGTATGACTATTTGGTATGATATATTATTTGTTGTTGATTTAGTTAGCAAAAGTATGCAGTCAAAAGATATGCATATTGATGTTGCCATAAATCAATTAAAAGGTTTGATTTTTTTTTAAAACAAATATAGAGAAGAAAGATTTACAACTGCTATGATTTCTGCCAAAGAAATTGCATTTGAAATGAATATCGAACCCGAATTTCGTAAGAAACGTGTGATATCTAGAAAGAAAAAATTTGATGAGAATGTTGATAATGAAATCTCAAAGTCTCTTGAAGAGTCCTTTAGAGTTGATTACATTTTATACATAGTAGACAAGGCTATTTTTTTAATTCAAAATAGATTTGAACAATTTGAAGCATATGAAAATATTTTTGATTTTCTATTTATTGGTAAAAAAACTAAGATCACTAAATGATGAAAATTTAAAAACACATTGCCTTAATCTTGAATTTTTCTTAAAGCATAATAATCAATCCAATATTGATGGTTTAGATTTATTTTCTGAGTTGAAAGTATTAAGGAAAATAGTACAAGTAGAAGATAATAGTTTAATTGATATACTCAATCAAATAAAGAGACTTGATTCTTTCCAAATGCCTATATTGCTTATAGAATATTGTTAACAATTCCAATTACCGTTGCTTCAGTGGAAAGAAGCTTTTCAAAATTAAAATTGATAAAATCTTACCTAAGATCAACAATGTTTCAAGAGAGATTAAATGGGTTAGCTATATTGTCAATTGAGAAAAACTTATTAGGAGAAATTGATTATAAGAAAATTATTAGTAACTTTGCATCTAAAAAAGCTAGAAAAATTGACTTCAAATAATAAAAAGAAAATTAAAACAATAAGACTCCTTATTAAAGTTTGGCTTTAGGCTCCAAAATACGTCGGGCCGCCCCTGCTGTGCGTACATAAGAGTTACTGGACTGAGACGGGCTTTAATGGAGTGACATGGACTGTGAGGAGTCCCATAGCAGAACCTAGCTTGCTTGTAATTGAGTGTGTACACAAGAACGACTACCACGATCGGCATCCCCTAATGTTCTTCTTGTAACTTCTGTCAGTACTGTCCTCAAGAGAAACTAATGAGCGACATCTGAAAAAAGAAAAAAAAAACAATTCGTTGGCATAGACCACTCATTAACTGAAACTTGTTACCTTCAATACTTAAAAGTATGAAGTCATAAAATTCATTATACTATCTAATTATAGATCATAAGAATTTTGAAATTGTTCAGAACTAAAATCTAAATCTCCTTATGTTCATTCATTTTGCAACAAGAAAGAAGTGATTGAGAAGTTGGCTTTCCATGTATGTGCTGGAGCACCGATGCAAAATGAAACAGAAATTTTATTTGATATAATCAATATATACTTGCAAGCTTCTGAGCTAGCACAGGGGTAACTTAATTATTTGTGTTTTCCTTCGGCTCCTCCCTGATAATTGGTAAATTGAACTTTGATTCCTCCACCTTAAAAAATAAGAGAAAAAAGGAAAAAAAGAAGGATACTCCGTGGAGAGAACTTAAAGCATACTGTCAGTGGTTTCTTCAATGATCAATCTGTGATCTAAGTAAAAGAGGCAAGAAAGGCAGGTTTATTACAGTCCACTGAACGTTTTGGACCTTCCGGTTAGTGCTAGTACTAACCGAATGGTGTGAGAAATGGCAAGATTGGGAAAAAGAAGGTACATTCTAGACGAGATAAGGAAATTGAAGATTGATCTTGCATTTAAATGCCCATTGCTCCTCGAATCCATCCCCGTTAGGGAAAAATAAGCTCCAGTAATTGTTCAGAATGAAAAATGAAGTATCCATGATAAAACTGAAAAGAAGTAGAGAGGCAAGCAATGAAACCTGAGTTGAGTAAAGTAAATTGTCCAGTCCAGGATCGCTTCAGTTCCGTGATCTGCAGCATAAATTTCACCTGAAGTTAATAAATCTCTTGATATGGCATAAATCACAGGGGACGCCATGGAACCAAGAAAATTGAAGGAACAGGGAATGAAACATATACTACTATCTTAAACTAAATAGAAAGGCAACTGGAAGATACGCCATAATGTGAAAGGAAAATAACATTCTTTGCACGAGGGAAGGGGGTGGGTGGAGGCACTTGTCTCACCATTGGTATGGAGACTCTTCTTAGGTTTTGACTTTAGGGCGAGCAGACAGATGATGAAAGGAGAGAACAGGGCTGTTTAGAGACCATGCGGAACACCAAAGTCTCTCAGGGTATCAGCTCTAGGAGAAACTCATAGCTAGGACTATGCCAGAAGCAGGGCAATTACTCTTTGCTGCAACCTTCCGCTCTTGCACACCAGTAAGATAGCCATTTGGGTTGAACTGGAGTTTGCATGATTGAAAGAGGAATACGTAAGAAAAAGTGGAGGGTTGGGGGGGAGTCGGTTACTCCACATATCCGACTCACCATTGGATATGCACTCCACATATCCAATGGTAAGTGTGGTCAAACATTTTCTTCTTCCTCAACTCCTAAACTACAGCATATGATGTAAGGAAACCTTTCCAGGAGAGGCAAACTGAAGGTTCGACACCCTATGACCAAAATTTTGGTAAATTATCCAACTGGATGGTAGGGACACCGTGTAGAAGAGGTCCAAGGATTGGTACATATGATGCTATATCTCTAAGGATATGCACAGTACAAATCTTCATCCATTTTATTTCCGTGTCAGTAGCTCCCCCAGTTATTTTGAAAGTTCTCCACCTTGACAAAAAATATGCTAACCAGCAAAGAGCGACATGCAAAGACTTATTTGTACTGAATGTATTTCACAAAGAACTCCATCCGGGCTCCTTCGCTATCCCAGTTCCTTGCATTGAACTTCTTATTTTCAAGACTTCTTCCCATTGGCCGACACTGGCCCAGATATTTGACAATGAGATATATGCACCAACTTCACTTGGCTCCAACTCTATGATCTTTTTTGCTGCCAGTTTTCCTAGCTCAACGTCGCCATGCACTTTACAAGCAGCAAGTAGTGTTCCCCAGACCAAAGCATCAGGTTTCATTGGCATCTCACTTATGATCCTCTCAGCCTCAGTTAATCTACCAGAGCGACCGAGAAGATCCACCATACAGGCATAATGACGGTAACCAGGCTCAATTCCGTAGTCTTTCATCATTGAAGTTAGAAAGAAATACCCTTCTTCAACCAAACCAGCATGGCTACAAGCAGAAAGAACACCAATAAAAGTCACTGAATCAGGCGTGATTCCTGAATTCCTCATTAACTCATAAACTTGCAAAGCATCTCCCCCTTTTCCATTTTGAGCATAGCTTACAATCATAGCAGTCCAGCTCACCAAATCAGGTGCCAAGATTTCTTCAAATGCTTTGCAGCAATCATCAACACTTCCACATTTTGAGTACATCATAACCAGTGAACCTCCTGTCGATGCTTCTGATTGTGATCCCATTTTCATACAATATGCATGCACTTGGATGCCAATGCCAGATCTGTTAGAAAGAGCAAGAACCCCAAGAATGGAAGAAATTGTAAAGGAACAAATATCTAAATCAGCCATCAGCATTTGCTTGAATAGCTGAAGCGTATCTTCCACATAACCCCTTTGAGCATACCCGGTGACAATGGAAGTACAAGAAAACTTATCTTTAAGGGGTAACATATCAAAGAACCTTCTCGCCGAAACTAGATCACTACACTTTGTATACATATTCACAATGGCACCATTGGCAATGCCGAGCTCACCAACACCATGCCGAAGAATGAAGCCATGAATTTCTTTGCCAGTTTTCACGGTCTGAAGAGAACTACATGCGTTAAGGATAGCAGTTAATGTCATTTCGTCAGGAGTGACTTCCTCCACGGACATCTCTCTGAACAATTCAACAGCTTTATCTGAAAAACCGTGTTCCACAAGACCAGCAATCATTGAGGCCCATGAGACAATATCCTTATCCTCAATCAGCTCAAATATGATATATGATTCCTCTATATTACCACATTTCGAGTACATTGTGAAAAGAGAACTGCTCACATTAACATTAGAGATTAAACCCGATTTAAGAGTGTAGCTATGTATCTGTCTACCCAAGTCTAGACAGTCTACAACTCCCAAGACACTAGAACAACAGAACTTATCAGGTTTCAAGTCCTCCTGAAATATTCTTTGAAATAGATGAATTACCTTGTCAGAATTACTATTCTGGGCAAGAACAGAAATCATGTTAGACCATAAACCTAGGTGCTGCAGATTTTCAGCCTCTGCAAAGACTGCCTCAGAGAGGGAAACTTCCCCTATCTTCGAGTACATATTGATCAAAGAATTTTGAACAACTGGATCCTGATAAAACCCAGTCTTATAGATCCAAGAATGGATTTGGATTGCTTCCTTTGCCATAGCAGGATTAGCACATGCAGTAAGCACACTAGTGACAGTGTAGCTGTTTATCTCGACCTCTTTATTCCTCATTTCCGCAAAGATTCCAACTGCAGAAAGAGGATCACCATTCTGGACGAAACCATTTAGCATGGCAGTCCAAGAAACAACATTGCTGACTGGCATCTGCATGAATTCCTTAAATGCTTCCTCCATAACCCCACATTTTGCATACAAATCAACAATAGCAGTCCCCACGAAAACATCTTTTTCCAGGCCGCATTTTATCACCGCTCCATGAACCGTTTTGCCAAGCCGAAGTTCCAAGAGTGCAACACAAGCATTCAATACACTAGGAATTGTAAATTCGTTAGGCTTTAAAAACCCACCCCACATTCGGCTAAAAATATCCAAACCAACCCAATACATCCTATTTTTTATCGCTCCTGCTATAATAGCATTCCAACAAACCACATTATCACACAAACAATCATAAAACACCCTTAAAGCATCACGAAACCTACAACTTCTTGAAAACAACTCAATCATCCCACATCTTACATATCCATCAGAGAAAAACCCATTTTTCATCACAAGCCCATAAACCTGCTCACCCCACAATGTAGATGTTAAAGCACCACAAGCAGAGAGAACACTACCATATGTAAACATATTCATATCAAACCCCAACATGTGCATCCTACAAAATAACCTCCAAGCATCCTCGTACAATAACGCTTTATTAGAATTTGAAATCATAAGATTCCAGGAAAATGTATTTGGGTTAGGCATTTCATCAAGCAGCTTCGCCGCATTGTCCATTCTTGATTTACAGTAAGCATCAAGCAAAGAGTTTGCAGCATATACATTGGATTCAAGATTCTGGGTCTTTATGAGATGGGAATGCGCAATTTCGGGTTTTGAGTGAACAATATTTCTGGGGTTGGTGCGTGCATTGAGGAGCTGAATAGGGTGCTGGTCTGAGAAATTAGATGTGCCATCAACTAAGGCAATGGAAGAGATGAATTTGCGCCCAAAAGCTGAGAATTTCTGCTCTAGTTGGTGGCAGCTGACAGAGTTCATTAGTGAAATTGGATCATGGCAAATATGCAGGGAGTGGAGGGGTAATGAGAATGTTGAAAAGCGCGGTAATGAGAATGTGAAGAGAATATTATACTATTCGACTAAATTTAACCTCCGAAACCAAATTTATCCCTATAATTATATTTAAATATACCTCTAACTCTAGCAAACTTTTAAAAGTTATCTACAATTTCCCATATTCTTTTATTTAAGACTTATTGTTATCCTTCATTCATTAATTTTTGAAAGAAAAGTAGTATAACGTTGATAGCTCCATAAAACGTTAGAGATCGAGAGAAGCCAAACTAATAAAAGAAAATACTCGATCTTTTAAAGATGAAAGAGCATAAAATCAGTATTAAATTCTAAATGTCATCCTAATGGACCATAATTGACTTTGAATACACGAGGTTCTATCTTTTGCACGTTTATTAAACTTGCGGACCATAACCAATGTTGATATTTCAAAGATGAAAGACCAAAATGCATATATACAACTCGAAAGTGTGGGAGAATCCAAGTTCGCAAATAATATTGTCTATCCCTATGAAATACTACTAATTAGGTAATATTTTCAAAGTAAACTTCAAAAGCAATCATATGATTCTTTGGTTGTTTCTTTTGTATAAGTGTTTATAGAGACAGATCGAGGATTTCAGGAGGATTGGTGCACCACTATTCGATCACCGCTTGATTTGGTCCTTTAAAATTTTGCCACGACAATAACTTGACAAGTAAATAACAATCAATATTGTTATTACAAAAATTTATCATTCCATAGACAAATGTCTAAATAGTTTCCCTACCTCAATGATAGCATCATTATTTATAGTTACAAATATTGAGCTCGATATATTAAAATTAAATAACTATTCAAAAAGAGAATGGTAATTGAAAAAAGAGGGAACTTGACATTGAAAAGATTCAAATTAATTCATTTTTTTTTAGTTTTTGAAACTCAATGATTGAACCAAAAAAGAAAATGAAGAAAACACAAAAGAAGAAAAAGGAAATGAAAGAGAATCCCAAAAAAATCAAAAATTTAATTAAAAGATATGTCATAGAGTGAACCAAAAAACAGAAGAACGCACGGATAAAAAAGGAAACAGAAAAGAAAGATAGGGTGGATTTCAGTTGAAACAGAAAAGAAAGAAAAAAAGAAATAGAAAACTGGCTTTTGGGGTTATACGGAACAGGATTCGAACACTGGACCTAGGGGCCAAAGGTGCGCGAAGCCACCACTAAACCAAATGTTGTTTTGAGCATGGGTTCCGACATGAATTTATAAGTACTTTATCCGATAAATATCACTGTAATACACAATCTAAGGAAGGGAGCATGTGTTCACGTGTCCCATGCCCCTCCACGTGGATCCTCCCCTAGGTGTTTATCAAAATACAGTCTATAGTATTTTGATATGCATAAAGTAGTTCAAGATCTGACAATGCATAATGTAGAGATATGAATTAAGTTGGTCGATATTACCGGGGACTACATATTGTGATGTGATTAGTTAGTATGAAGATTTATAATTTTGGGATTCTCTCACTTTTTTATAATAACTAAAGATATTGGTTATATATTTAATAAAGTACGTCTCCTGCTTCTCTTTTTCCTCTTCCTACTCCAAAAATGATGGATAAAGGAGAAGAATAAATGCCTAAAATAAAAGAATTGTTGGATTTTGTGGATAACCGTCAGGACTCGGGATAATTTTAAAAGTTTGCTAGAAGTAAGGATAAATATGACTGGATAGTATAATGGTAGGGATAAATTTAGCTGCATAGTATAATAGAGGGTAAATATAGACAATATTCGAAAGTAGAAAGATAAATATGACTATTTTTCCTAGTATTTGTCTAGACTATATAAAAATGTTATTAGAATAATATTTTATGTTTACTTATAAATACTAGTAAGTAAGAAAATCACTTATTTTCAAAAAATTTCTTTCATAACAATCACAGACCATTTATTATGGATTTACGGCACATCTGTAGTTATAGTAATATTGAGACGATCTTTGACTCTGGGTTTTCAGTCTATCCTTTTTTGTTTATTTACCTTTATCATCTCATATATATTTTTTTTTTGAAAAGATTACAGGGTATAACTAACTTATATACTATATTTACAATAAATAAATAAATACGCTTTAAAATAACTATAATACAAAGCTACACTTTGGGTTTTATAACAAATACCTTCTCTATGGGAATTTCTAACCCTAGCCGCAATCTCTCCCCTTCTCACCTCTGTGCAGTTGTCCCCTTCTTTATTAAGAAAATTCTGAAAGATGAAAAACTGTTATAAAATATAACTCAAAGTAACAATATGGAACAAGAAAAAACAAGCTAAGAGATATAGAGAGAAAGAGAGGAGAGATTCTTATTTCTTCTTCAATTGTGTGTATTTTCCTATCTATTACAAGGCCTTTATATAGGCATGAAAAGTGAAGAAAATATGTCATTGAATATGTCATTAAACATAGAAAATATGTCATTGAATATGTCATTAAGCATTTGAGATGAAGATCATGGAGGAAGAGTAGATATCCACCATAATTTGATATTTCTTATAATACTCCCCCTTGGATGTCCATAGATAATGTGCCTCATTAAAACCTTATTAGAAAAAAAAATCCTAGTGAAGAAAAAAGAGTACACAGGTTTAGGAATACGCCTTTTGGTTGCCTCATTAAAAATCTTGCAAGGAAAACCGAGTGGGACAAAACCTTGTAAGGGAAAAAGAGTACATCGCGTATTAACTCCCCCTGATAAGAGCATCAATTCACATCCTTCAGCCTTCACATCCCAATCTTGTACACTAGTTTCTTGAACGTTGATGTCGGTAGAGATTTGATGAACAAATCAGCCATATTATCACTTGAACGGATCTATTGCACACTGATATCACCATTCTTTTGAAGATCATGTGTGAAAAATAACTTTGGTGAAATGTGCTTTGTTCTATCTTGTTTTATGAATCCTCCCTTCAATTGAGCTATGCATGTTGCATTGTCCTCATTCAATATTGTGGGTAGTTTATCACACTTCAAACCACATTTGTCTCGAATAAGGTGTATTACAGACCTCAACTATACACATTCTCGACTTGCTTCATGAATATCAATTATCTCAACATGATTAGATGAAGTAGCCACGATTGATTGCTTAGTCGATCGCCAAGAAATTGCAGTGCCTCCACATATAAACACATAGCCTGTTTGAGATCGAACCTTGTGTGAGTCAGATAAATACCCATCATCGGCATAACCAACAAGATCGGGACTGCAATCAATTCCATAAAATAAGCCCATATCGGTAGTCCCTTTTAGATACCGCAATATGTGTTTGATTACATTCCAATGTCTCCTTGTAGAAGCAGAGTTATATCTTGCTAAGACATTAACTGAAAAATTTATGTCAGGCCTTGTCGTGTTAGCAAGATACATTAGTGCATCAATTGCACTAAGATATCGTATTTCAGGACCAAGAAACTTTTCATTCTTTTCTTGAGGTCGGAACGAGTTCTTATTCACATCAAGTGATCGAACAGCTATCAGAGTACTTAATGGATGTGCTCCATCCATGTAAAACCGTTTCAATACCTTTTCTATGTAGGCAGATTGATGAACAAAAATTCCGTTTGCCAAATGTTCAATTTGCAAACCGAGACATAATTTTGTCTTTCCGAGATCTTTCATCTCGAATTCCTTCTTTAAATAATCAATTGCCTTTTGAAATTCTGTAAGAGTTCCAATAAGGTTTATGTCATCAACATATACGGCAAGTACAACAAACTCCGATGTTGTTTTCTTTATAAAAATACACGGACAAATGAAATTATTTATATAACCTTCATTTTAATAAATATTCACTAAGGTGGTTATACCACATTCTTCCTGATTGCTTTAGACCATACAAAGATCTTTGCAATTTGATTGAAAACATTTCCCTAGACTTTGAATTATGCGCGTCATGCATTTTAAATCCCTTGGGATTTTCATGTATATCTCATTATCATGTGAGCCGTAAAGGTAGGCTGTAACCACATCCATTAAATGCATGTCAAGCTTTTCATGGACAGCAAGACTAATGAGATAACGGAACATTATAACATCCATAACAAGAGAATACGTCTCTTCATAATCGACATCAGGCCTTTATGAAAATCTTTGTGCAACAAGGCATGCCTTATATCTTTGTACCTCATTTTTCTCATTCCTTTTACGTACAAAGACCCATTTATAGCCAACAAGTTTAACACCATTAGGTGTTTAGACTATAGACCCAAAAACTTCATGTTTCGCAAGTGAATCCAACTCAGATTGGATTGCTTCTTGCCATTTTGGCCAATCACGTCTTTGTCAACATTCTCCAACAAATTGAGGTTCAAGATCCTCATTATCTTGCATAATGCTAGATGAAATATTGTATGCAAAGATATAATCCACCACTATATTCAATCGATTTAAATTTGTCTCAATATCGATTGGATTTATTGATAGCTCCTTATTTTCTTGAGTCTCAGGCTCATCGATATCCTCATGAATCTCAGGATTGGTTAAATCATAGGTTTCTTTATGAGACTCTTTCGTAGTGTCATCTTGATCATTTATTTTCCTTTTTCTAAGATTTCGATTCTTAGAACCCAATGGTCTGCCACGCTTTAGGCGTGCTTTTGACTCATTAGCTATGACACTAGAAGATTGTCCAACAGGGACATCAATACGGATTGGAACATTCTCTGCAGGGATATGTGATTTCTTTATCCTTTTCAGATCTGTAAATGCATCCGATATTTGATTTGCTATTTTCTATAAATGAATAATCTTTTGCACCTTTTTTCACAAATAGAGGCACGTGGATCAAGATGAGACAATGATGGATTTTTTCACAAAATTTTCCGTTTGATTTCACCAATTTCTCCCCCTAATTTTGGGGAAAATGCCTCATCGAATCGACAATCTGCAAATCGAGCAGTGAACAAATCTCCCGTTAATGTTTCGAGATAGCAAATAATGGAGGGCGATTCAAACCCAACATATATTCCAAACCTTCTTTGGGGACCCATCTTGGTGCGATATGGCAGTGCTGCAGGCATATATACAGCGCATCCAAAAATTCTTAGATGTGATATATTAGGTTCATGACCCAAAACTAATTGCAACGGAAAATATTTATGATAATTTATCGGTCTGAGACGAATTAGCATTGCTGCATGCAAAATGGCATGGCCCCAAACAGAAGTGGATAATTTTGTTTTTATGAGTAGCGGTCTTGC